GTTTTTGGAGTCCACTGGGCATAGGTTTAAGTCCTCGCTTCACCACTGACTAATTATGTGATGTTGAACAAGATAATTGTCCATTTTGAGCCTATAAAGTAGTGATAAAAATGGTACCTACCTTTAGGATTGAATATAAAGTGTTTAGCAGTGTGTCTCGCATATATTAAGCACCTAATGAAAGGTAATTGTTGTTAGAATTATTGATTAAAATGCCAAAAATGAACTGGGAGAAAAGAGCCCCTTGGCAGGCCATTAGAAATTTCCCTAGTGTTTGCATTAACTCTTTAACCAACAACCTTTGGGGGTGGTCTTCATAGCGTTGCATCCACCTAATGGCGCCATCACAGAAACTTCCTTTTGTCTGTGAGGTTATAATGAGAGATGTCATATGTGTTGCTCGAATCCAGATGAACTCTGCTATGGCATTCCGCCAATAGCCTGTGGAAAAGAAAATGAGGTTGGTCTGGGCTTGCTCTCCCTGGGGAACCCTTGTTTGCTGGCCTCCAGGGTTCACTGCTTCCCTTTATAGGAAGGAGCTCATGAATGATTTATTCAGCAAATGTCAACTTTACTGATCTAGAGAGGTGGTTTTCACACTAGGATTCAACAGAGTGCCTCAGGGTGTGTCCCTTTCCAGGGGAAGAGGTGGGAAGCAAAATGGGGATGTTCCTAGCCTTCCTATCTCTAGGACACCCAGAACATCTCAAAAGTGACCAATGTTCTGTATTTGAGTTCCACAGATTCAGATTGCAGTTTTCTAAAAGGGCAGTCAGGAGAGATCTGAGAGCCAACATTCGGAAACAGTGGTCTTCGCTATTTTGAGATCTCACCTTTTTGTCCTTTGCTCCTCTCGGGTCTAAGAACAACATTCCAGTTATTTATGGTCTGTCAAAGATCAATGAGAATAGACAGCAACTTTATCTGCAACAAGTTCTTTCTCAACTCTGAGATAGAACTTACTTGGGCTGAGAGATTGGAATCCAGCTGAGATGCAGGGAGCTCTTGACTCCTGGCTTCTGCTCCTGCTCACCGCCTCCTGCGGCTCCTGTTCAGGGTGAACAGCTTCCTCGCTGCTGGGGAGGCAGGCCAGCAGGACCCAGCAGCTCTGCTTTCTCTGTCATCTGTTATCATTACACATCTTGCCCTAAGCAAAGGGACTGTCTTCCTTGTTCTCCTTCCTCCTATAACTGAAAAAGCCCTTTTCACTGTCTTAGCGTGGTAAGGACCCACATTAACAGGATCCGGCTATTCTGGGTTTTAGAATCCCTGTGGCTTTTACAAGTTGAGAATGACTCTCTCTCTCTCATTTCCATTCTTGCTCTTTTCTTTTGTTATTAAACCGAGTACATGTGCTAGTCTTTCTAACCCTCTTTGGGTTTTTAAGACTTTCTTCCCTTCCTTGTTTCTGTGCTTTTGTTTTTTGTTCTTATACTAAGTTTCTCATAGGGCTCCCTGTATAATCATATCTAATTCTTTGGCTATTTCCCCATTTTTCCTCACCAGTCTCCTTCAGTCGTTCAGAAAATATTCATCAGGGTTTAACTGTGTGCCAGACACTGGGCTGAGCACTGGGGATATGACCCATGGTTCCCATTCTCTGGAAGCTGGGAGATATAGACCAATAAAGAGACAGTTACAGTACAGTATGATTCCTTTGTCATAATTCCATTTTTGATAATTTTCCTCTCTTTTGAGCCACTTGCCTTTTAGAATCTGAGACCATAGGATAACTCTGGGGCAAGTAATGACCTCTACTAGTTGTGAAAGAACATGGCTTTACCCTGATTGAGGCCTGAACAATGGGTTTATATTAAAGACTGGAAAGAGAAAGGGAACTAGCATGTATTAAGTGCCTACTGCATGATAAGCACTATGCTGGGCCCGCTGACTTACATTATCTTGTTTATTCTTCACAATTACCTGAGAAGGAGATATTATAATCTTCATTTTATAAGTGAGGAAATTCAAGTTTAGAGAACTGTAGGGTTATAGAGCTGTAAATCAAGATGCTGGGATTCACATCCAAGTTTGTCTTTTTCCACTGCATTATGTAGCAAAACTCAGCGTCCTTTGAAATGGTGCCTTTGGCTTTCTATGTCTCTTCTTTACTTGGTCTACATTTCTCATCGCCTTATAAACTCACCCTGGCTCAGAACTCACTTCTTCCAGCCGCCTTCACCCACTGCCCCAGAATATTCTTTAATTCCATGCAATCCCTCTTTTGAATTTTTCATTATTTTGTACTAGTTGACTTTTGCCGTATAGCTGTTTTGGCATTATTATTTGTGTACCTGGCTTTCCTAACTGGATTGCTAATTCCTGGAAGGCTGAGTTTATCTCCCGTTGGTGACCAGCACAAGGTGTCCAAGTTGTGGACTGTGATCTCCTTCAGACTCAGTCTTCGTCTTTTCCCTCCTCTCCTCCTTCACTGGAGTTTTGTTCCATGTCCTTTTCCTTTCATTTCTTTATATATTTATTCATTTATTTTTTATTTTGGTGAGGAAGATTGGCCCTGATCTAACATCTGTTGCCAATCTTCTTCTTTTTGTTTGAGGAAGATTGTCCCTGAGCTAACATCTGTGCCAATCTTCCTCTATTTTGTATGTGGGACACCGCCACAGCATGGCTTGATGAGTGGTGTAGGTCCGTGCCTGGAATCCAAACCCGTGAACCTGGGCTGCTGAAGTGGAAGGCACTGAATTTAACCACTACACCACTGGGCCGGCCCTGTTTTCCTCATTTATTTATGGGTCTTTAAACCTTCTCTGCTCACCTGGATGTTTAAAATCTAGGTCTCTACCCCAAGCACATAGCAAGATGGCTTCAGCAGTTGTCTTCATGGGCTCTGCCCATAGTAGGGGCAGTAGGGTCATACTATATGCCCATAGCAGGAGGTTTGAACCCACCAGCTGTAAAGAGCAACAGAGGCCAGAGTGCTTGCTTCCCTCCTTCCACAGAGCTGTGGTCTTCCTGCAACACAGCCCATCGTCACGCAGTTCCCTTGGCTCCAGTTCATGCTGCCCTCTGAGGCCACAGCCAGCACACTGATGGACTCTGTGCTCCTCTCTGCTCTGTGATCAGCCCCTACCATTTATTAACAGCCAGAGCTTCTGCTTTATTCATGAGACATATGGCATTTTCCTATGGAATCCATATGCTTTTTTTCCTCTCTTCTTTTTTGTTTTTCTTCATTCACATTTTCCAGACCTTGTCCAATGAATAAGGCCACAGTTTTCATTGCCATCCCTGCAGGCAAATTCTGCAGATGGTTAGAGAACAGGTATTGGCGCCATATGACATAACGTGTGGGAGTTTGCTATTTTTTCTTTCCTTGTCTCTGCAAAGCGCACACATCCTAGCTGCAGTCAGTGAATTATTCATCTCTGACATGTGTTCCTAGCCCTTGACATCATTGTATGGCAACACTGCCCTAGTCCCCAAGCTAGGACTCAACATATAGTCCGTGCAAGGCAAAGGGTTAGCATTCTCACTATCGCTAAGCTCCTTTGTGAGTCCCTGCACCTGCCCAGGAAGCCCTTTCCCCCTCTCACTGATTTATCGCCACACTGACAAGCCTCTGAGCAGGTGTGTTGGCAATTGTTGCCCATCATTTTGTAAACAGAGAAAGTAAAGATTCTGGATAAGGAACTTGTTCAGGGACACACAAGTTGATAACAAGAACCATACAAATGGCTTCCAGGATCGAGAACCTGCCTGTCCTGATGTTGTCTGTCCCAAGTCTACCTTGGGAGTCTGCAAGTCTAGGGCTCACCTCGCACCCAGACAGAACTCAGGTATCAGTCACTGGGCACTTGTCATGTGCTGAGCACTGTTCTAAGAGCTTTATCTGTGTTAACTCTTTTCACTTTTACAAAACCCAGGAAGTAGGACCTATTATTATCCCCATTTGGTATATGAGGGAACTGAGGCATAGAGATGCCAAATAATTTGACCAAAGCAATATAGTAATCAGTAGCAGAGCTGGAATTTGAACCCTACTAGTCTGGCTTCAGAGCCTAGAATAGCCATCTCCAAATGGATGTTCTGTTCTCATGGTGAATATATCTCTCAGAGAAAGTGGGAAGGGATCTGTGGCCGATCCTTTTGGTTGCCCAAAAACCATACTCTCTCTTTTCCCCTCACAGAGCTCTGATCTTATTCACTCTCCTGAAAAGCCATGTGCTTCCAAAGAGCAGGGGACCCAGTTCCAGGTGGTGAGTCATGGTTGGTCTCACTCACAGCCTGGTTGGTTTAGAGGTGGACATGGAGGTGACTAGGAGGTTCTGGGAAGTTACCTTGCTCTTCCCAATAGTCACACAGGAAGAAGCTCTCCCTTCCTGCCTTTAGACAGTGTGGTGAGCAGGTAGATGTGATGCTTGAAGCTGCTGCAGCATCTTGGGACCACGAGGGGACAAGCCAGGGACAAGACCAATGCATAGGAATGGTAGAGAGGAAAAGGGAGAAAGAACTGGGCCACTGAGCCTTGGAATTAACCATCCTGGGAACTGCCTCACCTCAGAGCTTTTTTTTTTGTCATGTAAGATACTAGCTTTTCCTTATTGTTTAGCCAGGGCTTCTCAACTTTGGCACCTTGACTCTTTTGGCAGGGTAATTGATGTGGGGAGCTGTCCTGTATATTGCAGGATGTTTAGCAGCATCCCTGGCCTCCACCCACTCGATGACAGTAGCATCCCCTGCTTCAGGGTTTGAGAAAGTAGGGGAGGAAAAAATGGGCTTGTTGGGGGCTGGCCCAGCGGTGCAGTGGTTAAGTGCACGCGCTCCGCTGCGGCAGCCCGGGGTTCGCAGGTTCGGATCACGGGTGCGCACCCAAGCACGGCTTGTCAAGCCATGCTGTGACGGTGTCCCATATAAAGTAGAGGAAGATGGGCACGGATGTTAGCCCAGGGCCAGTCTTCCTTGGCAAAAAAAAAAAGAGAAGGATTGGCATTGGATGTTAGCTCAGGGCTGATCTTCCTCGCAAAAAAAAAAAAAAAAGGGCTTGTTGGTGCCTTTCTATCACACTATTTTGCATTATACTATAGCTATCTTATGTTATTAGCTCCTTCCTGGAACAGGTCTTCTATGTTAAATTCTTTTAGGCAGTTTGGAGGAAGGTCAAATGTTCTTCCTGAGTCTTCTGAGCCTTTATTGTCTTCAGCTTAAAATAATCCAGGTACCAGAATGGTGTATCTTGGGGAGGCCTGCCCTGAACCCCATCAACAACCAAAAATGTCTCCAGACTTTCCAAATTTCTCTAAAATTGATTCTAGTTGAGAATGACTTGTTTAAGCCTTGGTCTCCAAAATGGAGTGTACATAAGATGATTCATTGATCCATTTGGTTGTAAGAAGAAGGTATTAAAACTTCTATTTATAATTGTTTTTATCTTATCCTCTAAATCTTTCTAGTTAAATTTTTATTATGTATATAAATATTGGTACAATAATCCAAGAACATAATTTTAAAGTACATGCATATATTAGACAGTATGTTCAAAAATTTTTTTTTGCAATAGGAATATATGATCACAAAAATTTGGAAACCACTTGTTTGAATCACTTCTAGTTCTGTTTCCTGTTACTTGCAGCCAAAAGCATCCTAAGTCCCTAAGAGGATATAATATTAGCTAACTATAATATTGTGATTTATAATAAGAAATATATATTTGTTCTTCATCCCATTCCTGGCACAGAGCTCCTAAAATTTCCTGAGCAATAAAAGCAATAAAAGTGTCTTTTCTTATTCATAACAAGTCCTTTTCAACCACACCTGAGTTTATGTTAATGGGGTGACTTTTGGAAATCTCCTAAGAATGGGGGCTAGTTGCCAGGGGAACCTTGTGATTAGAGGATTGGAACTTTCAACTGCCCATGGCCCGGACCGCCAGGGAGGAGAGAGGGGCTGGAGGGTGAGTTAATCACCAATGGCCAATAATGTAATCAGTCACGCCTACATAATGGAACCTCCATAAAAACCCAAAAGAATGAGGTTCAGAGAGGTTTGGGGTTGAGGTGCTGGGTGAGTGGCACACCTGGAGAGGTGATGGAAGCTCCTCACTCGTTCCCATATACCTTGCCCTATGCATCTCTCCCATCTGGCTGTTCCTGAGTCACATCCTTTGTAATAAACCAGTAAACTAGAAAATAAACTGTTTTGCTGAGTTCTGTGAGCTACTCTAGCAAATTAATCAAACCTGAGGAGGGGTCCACGAGAACATGCGATTTATAAGCCAATCAGTCAGAAGCACAGGTGACAATCTGGACTTGCAATTGGCATCTGAAGGGGGGTGCAATCTTGTGGGACTGAGCCCTTAACCTGTGGGATCTGACGCTATCTCCAGGTAGAAAGTGTCAGAATTGAGTTAGATTGTAGGACACCCAGATGGTGTCAGAGAATTGCTTGGTGTGGGAAAATCACCCACACATCTAGTCACAGAAGTGTTCAGTATGAGTGGTAGAGAAGAGCAGAGAACAGAATTTTTCCTTATACCAACACTTACTGAATGTTTACTATGTGCCAGACACTGTTTTAAGCCGTCACTTCATCCTCATAACAACCTTACATAGTGGGTGGTATCGTTTCCTCATTTCACAAGTGAGAGAGCTGAGGCAAAGAGGGGTTAAATAATTCACCCCAGTTCAGAAATCTGGGACACAACAGAGCCAGGAGTAGAACCCAAATAGTCTAGCTCTGGAGCCTGTGCACTTGACCATCACGCTCTACAGGGTCCAGGCTTCATTTACAAATAAGGGAGCAGAGCCTTGAGAAAGTTAAAGAATTTCTCCAGCCAAAGTAGCAAGTCAGGGCAGAACCAAGGATAGAGTGGAGTAGAAATGGCCCATGAGGCGTCCAGGAAGTGGGTTCAGTTCTGTCCTAACAACGCGGTGGCATTTCTCATGGAAACGTTAGCAATCAAATGCATCTCTGACTCTGTCTCTCTCCTCTCCTTTCTAATGGATGTGAAACCTCTCCCCCCTCCCCACTAAGCCAGATCTATCACTTGGAAGTCATTTCCAAGAGTCAGGAATCCCAGAAAGCTCCCCTACCTTCTGAGACTGTTCTTTACTTAAGGCAAGAAGGAACAAAGGAAACTCTTTTTATTGGCTTGTACTGAGCAAATATGAGTTGTTAATCCATTCACTTTCAAATTCCCTCTGTTTACTGATAGAAATTACCTGGGCATGTTCTTTAAACTAAAAGTAATTTCTTCTGAGGGAAAGAGGATAAAATAAACCACACCTCTGACCTTTGGTATTAAAATATCTTTGTATTTTCTCAGAGTGTGGCAAAGCACAGGCAGATTTTATAGTCTCCTCAAACCCTTCCATTTCCTCTTCTCAAAAGCTGCTTCTAACTGTACATTGTAAGTGCTGAAACTATGGCCTGGGGGACTATTTTCTCCACAAAAAAAGGGGAATTAGTGAGAAAGTAGAGTGACCAACGCTGGAAGGATATTACCAGAAAATACAAGTAAATGTATCACCCGGGGCAATGTTACTAAAAATAAGCAGCAATGTACCAGGGCCATTCTGAGAATTTTCCACGAATCTTCCCAGGATTCAGAGATTGAATAAATCATTATAAAGGAAGTACTATTAAGCCAGGTGCTGTTGTGGATGGCAGGGGCACAACAGCGATCAAAATAGATGAAGTCCTTGCTCTCCCGGAGCTCAGCTTCTGGAGGGGAGGAGACAGGCAATAAACAAATGAACCAATCAGTGTGTAATTTGTCCTGTGGTGATAAGGGCTATGAAGGAAAATAAAGCAGGCAAGTGGGAGAGACACTGATGAAATGGGGGTTTGTTTGGTGTGGTATAATCAGAAATATATTTAGTCTTTGTCCCCGATTCCCAGCACAAAGCTCCTAAAACCCTTGGAATTTCCTTCGTCATAGGAGTGTCTTTTGTTCCTCATAAGGAGCCCCTTTTGAGCACACCTGAGTTTATGATAACGAAATGACTTAGAGTGAGTCCCCTAGGTAGCCTCAGGATTGGGCTGGTCACCAGAAAGACGAAGTGATTAGAAGGTTGGAACTTTCAGCCCTCCCCAATGACCTCTGGGAAGGGGAAGAAGGGGCTGCAGATTAAGCCCCTAAAAACTCTTGAACAACAAGATTTGATGAGCTTAGGGGTTGGTGAATGCATTCACACGCTGCGGGGTTGCACATCTCAGTTCCATAGAAGCTGCTGCGCTTAGGATCCTTCCAGACCTCACCTTGTGTACCTCTTCATCTGTATCCTTTATGATATCTTTTATAACAAACTGGTCAATGTAAATAAATGTTTCTCTGACTTCTGTGAGACACTCTAGCAAATTAATCAAACTTGAGAAGGGAGTTGTGGGAACCTCCGGTTTATAACCTGTTGGTCAGAGTCAGACGTAACAACCTGGACTTGTGATTGGTGTCTAAGTAGGGGCAGTCTTGTGGGATTGAGCCCTTAACCTGTGGAATCTAACACTGTCTCCAGGTAGATAGTGTCTGAATTTAATTAAATTTGTAGGACACTCAGTCAGTTTTTGCTGAGAATTAGAGAATTGCTTGGTGGTGTTGGAAAAAACACATTGGAGTTAGATAAAGTGGGCAGTGAAGTCTTCACTGATAAGGTAACATGGAAGCAGAGATCTGAAGAAAATGAGAGAGGAAGACGTGTGGTTTTCCTAGCAGAAGAAACGGCATATACAAAGGTCCTGAGGCAGGACGGTGTTTGCCATAGTCAAGGAAGAGTAAGGAAGCCAGTGTAGCTAGAGCAGAGTAAGAGTGGGGGAGAGAGAGAGATGTCAGACCTTGTAGGGCTTTATAAGCTCTGGTACAGACTTTGAATTTTACTCTGAGAGAGTTGCAAAGCCATTCAAAGTTTTGAAAACAACAGTGATAAGAACTGACTTGCCTTTTAGAAGGACCATTCCGGCTGCTGTGTGGAGAATGCTATCTCCAGAACCTAGCACTTCTGACTATAAGCAGTGAGAAAGCTGATGGCCCAGTGGGGAAGACAAGTAGTGGGTAGCTGGAAAGAGAAGTGCAGGATGTTTTGGAAATCTCTTACAGGAGGGTCTGATCTAGTCTGAGGATCCAAGGGGAGGCTTCCTGGAGGAAGTGATTTTAAGGTGTGACTTAAGCGATGAGTAGGAGTAGAGGAGATCGAGAGGGGAGGGGAAGAGCTTTCCAGGGACAGGGAATACACAGATAAAGACTCTAGACATGAAAGAGCGTGGACTCACGGGGGAACTGAAACAGGACCAAAGAGGCTGCAGCACAATAAGCCAGGAGCATGGGTGGTGGGTTAATGCTAGAGAAGGCTGCTCCTACAGGGCTATGTCCAGAGAGATGAGGACAGGTCATAATACCAAGGCTACAGGGAGCCAGTGCAGGGTTTTCCTTAAAGAAGCAACACGCTCAGACTTGCATTTTCGAAGGGCACAGTGTGAACAATATACTTATTCGTGGGGGCAAGAGTGGATGAAGGGGGACCATTAGGAGGTCATGTGGTGGTCTGGGCAAGAGATGGTAAGAGCCTGGACCTGGCAGGGGGAGAGGGGATGGAGAAACATAGATGGGTTTGAAGGCTATTTGGGAGGTAGAAGAGGGCAGACTTGGTCATTGTTTGGAAGTGGGCAGAGGGGCCGTCCGGTAGCTCTCATGAATTTTGCCCTTGGGCACCTGCATAGATGGAGGTGCCATTCCTGAGAGAGGGAACCAGGAGGACCAGCTGTGTGGTTTGGGATTCTAGGGCCTTGGCCAATGCTGGTTTTGCCTCTTGAGCAGAACCAGTGCTGCTCTAGAGGTAGAATGTGCTGGAGCCAACTTACACCTGCAAGCCAGTTGCTCAGCAGTTGGCAGCTTGAAATCGGCTCTGGGGGGAGAATTAACACAACGGCAGCAAATATTACACAACACAGCTTTCCTTCCAGAGAGCCGGTTTACAGCACACTACTGTCTGCAAGGAACGTTTGGCCCTGATTTCAGGCCTGTCAGTGACTGGTTGGTTGGTACTTCAATCATTTGGAAATTCAGTCATCCATCATTCTCCCATTTTGTTACAAAATGGTGACCTGGCTACTTTTATTTAAGGCACAGGTAGCTTCCTATGTATAGCTATTCTTCTCTAGGCTCTTGCTAGAGTGGAAAATGGAAGCAGCTGTGGGACATTGGAGAGAACCCCAGATTTAAGTGGGCTAGGGTTCATATTGCAGCTCTGTCACTTTCTAGCTGGGTGACTCTGGTATGGTTTCTAAACCTCTCTGGTCCACCATGTTTCAGTAGATAATACCATCTGGGTCCCAAGAATAAATGAGGGAAGGTATATGGAGAGTCAAACACATTAGTAGCTTCTCAATAGATTCTAGTTTAGAAATAAAGCAAAATGGACTGCTAACTGAGATTTGAGAAGATGGTTGGAGGGCAACTTGGCATCCATTTCTCTGGATAGTACGTAACTGGGTTCTGGAGTTAGGTCCACCACTTACTGGTGTGGGCAATTACCTAGACTCCAAGCTCTAATTTCTTCACCTGTTAAGTGGGAGAAGTCATAGTTCCTAACTCCCGGGGTGGCGAGGACCAAGTGAAATGATGCAGGCACCGTGAGGGGATGCCTGGTGTGAAGGAAGCTACCACGAGAATGGTCTCTCTTTGTATCTGGCTCGTTCATCAGAAAGCTACACATCCAGATATCATTCATTTAGGGGAATCTCTTGTCCCCATCAACTGTGACATATATGACTGTGCTTGAAACATTAATGTAGACCCTTGGGTTTTGTAAGCTCTGGTGAAAGGAGAGGCTGCAGCTGAAGGGTTGGGTGGCCAGTACAAACACGCCCTCCTCCACCTCTGCAATGAAGGCCCCAGGACTGGCTCATGTTCTTTCCCTTGATACCTTGAGGCACTCCCAGGATACCAGATACCAGCCTAGGCTGCTTTTCTGTTTAATGGCTTTCTGGACTTCCTGCCTAGACACCCTGCCTCCCCTTGACCTTTTATCTAATGCCAAGATTCCATGATTAGCAGGATATTTGAGAAGGAGGCAGATACCGGAAAGCACAATAGGTAGGATGCCAGGAGATTCATCCATTCATCCATCCATCCAGCAAATATTTGCTGAGCATCCAGTATGTGGCATGTGCTTCCTAGTGCTGGGGATATAAAATTGAAGTCCTTTGGGATTCTCACTGGGGAGAGACTCATAAATAACTCTAATGCCAGTTTTCATCAAGACATATTCCAGTGCAAATGACAGAAAACCTAAGTCAGAGCAACTTGAACAACAAAGACATTTATTGTCTCAAATATCAAATAGTCCAGAGGTAGGGCAGGTGCCACATGCATTATATAAAGTTCCAGTTCCTCTTCTCTGTAATACTCTTGGATTTTCCCTACTTTATGGATATTGATGTCCAAACTAGGCTAGAGCTAATATGGCTGCAGCAGTTCCAGCTATCACATCAGATATCACAATACCCAAAGGAAGAAAGAAAACCATTTTTTCTTGTATCTCTTTCTTAGAAGAGAGGAAACTTTTTCACAAATTTCCCAGCAGATGTACCGTCACATCTTTGTTCCCAGAATCAGGTCATGTGCCCATTCCAAACTTCATCACTGGCAAAGGGAATGATATAACCTTGATAGGCACAGACTCATCAGGGTCTACCCTTGGTGCTGTGAATAGGGTCCCCATCCCTGAGTCTCATGGGAAAGGAGTGGATGAAATGGACTCGGTGAATTAGACTGAGTTCTGTTAGTAAAGGGGTGAGGGCTCTCGGGTGTTTGTCAGGTGGCAGTGTCTGCTGCACAGGACTGAGGAGATGCTGTATCAGGGGTGCATGGACATTGCATGGTGGGAGCTCAGAGCGAGGAACAAAATATTTTTCTAGGGGAGAGAGGGGAGGAAACAGCTGGCAAGGTTTCAAAAAGGAGGTGACTTTGGCGCTGGGCTGGGAATAAAGAATATGAGGCTGAAAGCCGTTCCAGATTCCAATTAAGAGGGTCTCGTAAGCCCTTCTCAAAGGATTTGGCTTAATCCTACAGGAAGTGTAGAGTCACTATGCATGTTTTAAATATTTTTAAATCAAATTTTTAAGTTGAGAAATAGGAAAGAGGAAGAAGAACCACCTCTTATTGAATGTCTACTATGTTCTGGAGGCCGTGCGGATGCTCTACAGAGATCCCTCCTTTGGTCCTCACAGCGACCCTATGAGAAGGCTGTACTGCCCCATCTTACAGGAAATGGCTCAGGAAGCAGGGATCATAGCTGGTCAAACAACAGGGGCCCTCACTGATTGATGTTCGCTCAGGGACACGACTGCAGGTGTGGTCTTTCCCGAGCCTCTGACAATGGGGGTGGGATGGCGCACTGCAGTGGAAAGGGCACAAGTGGCTGCTTCAGTCTCACAGAGGGAGGGGACGAGCCTCTGGGTTGGAGCAGCGACGGCAGGAATGGAGAAGAAACTGATGTGAATAGGAGCAAAATTCATGGGAATTCGTGACCAAGTGCCTGTGTGGGTGAAAAGATAGTTCAACTATAATCTTTGCTTTGAAATTTCAAATTTGTTTCCACCCTATTGATATATTAGGGAACAATTTGAGCATACGGCGACTTTCAGGATTAGTTATGCACGTATTCATCCCTCAAGAAACCCTAGGTGAATGCAGAAAACTGCATCCAGCTTAGGAATACACAAAACACACGTGCACGCACACACACCCCCCACATCAAACATCTACCAGCTGCCTCAGTTCACCACATGTGTTATGAGCCACACTCACCCACACCCGGTGTGACAACTTTCTGTCTGGTTTCCAACAGGTCTCCTTCCGCCGCTTCACAATAAGCCACAAACTGCAGCCCTCCTGATGCCCCCTTTCACCAGCAAACTTCAGGGCTTTATAAGTGCCGTATTTACTGTATTATTTATGTATCACTCAACCATTTAACGTGTGTAAGACCATGCTGCCACTTTTATTAGGTTCCTATCTCTCTTTTTTTAATGTCGCTGCTGAAGTTTTTGAGTGTTGTGCCCGTTTTTCCCGTAAGCTCTGTGGTTTTCGCTGGTGGGTTTTGTGCCACACACTGGTTTTTAGGAGCGAGTATGTGGGTTAGAGTAGAACTGACTGTAGCTTCAAGGCTTCTGGGTTGCACACTTGCACTTAGGAGGACGCACTCTACTGAAAGGCGTTTGGTGGGGGACGCGCAGACTGTGGCTTTGGCTTTGGATGTCCTGAGTTTCAAGTTTCAGGAGAAGCTGGAGAGTATCTAGAAGATGATTAAAAATATTGATCTGAAGTTCAGGAAAAAAAACACACACACGATTACGGGATGTGTAAGTAGTTTCGGAGACAATTAGCAAATGCCAGGTAATTGAAGCCACATGAGTGAGAGATGCTTCCCATAGAGAGGTGCGGAATGAGACGACGAGAGAGTCTAGGAGGAAACCTGAGGGACACCAGCAGCCAAGGGCCAGGAGGTAAAGAGAGGCCAGAGAAGGAGCCTGAGCTGCAGAGGGGATGGGAGAGGTGGTAGACAGTGATGTCAGGAGGTCAAGAGAGGTCAGAGTTCAAGATGGGAATGGCAGGCCAACAATGTCAAACGTTACAAAAGTTCAGACAGAATGAGTAGTGAAACATGTTCATTGGATTAAGGTATTCATAATTCATTTTCAGCCATAGGGAGGGCAGGCTTTTGGAGTCTCTTCTCCCAAGATTTTTAGGACATGAAGTGAAGCAAAGGAATGGTATTTTGTAAGGAAATCAAAACTGAAGGAAAATTGAAAAGGTGTTTTTAGAGTGAGGAGTAGGGATTGGAAGAGATAGGGAGAGCGAAGAAAAGAAGGAGATGGAAGGAGATAGAAAGAGATGGAAATGGTTAAATTTGGGATGATCTCTCCCTCCTCTGCGACAGGAATGAATTTAGATATGGCAACGTTTACACCCACAGTCTCTATTCTCCTTGGGAAGTGAAGGGAAAGTGAAGATAGGATTGCAGTGGCTTGACCAAAGAAGGGCTTATTTTTCTGCCATAACAAGAAGCAACAAGAGGTAGCCAGTCCAAGGCTGGTGCAGGGGCTCTGCAAAGTCACCAACGCCCAGACTCTTTCTATATTCCTACCCTGCCAGCCTTAGTGTGTGGCTTCTGTCATTATAGGGACAATCTGGCTGCTGACACTCCAGATATCATGTCTTCATTTCAGGAGGAAACATGGAGAAGGGTAAAGAAATTCCATGCCAGCTATATCCTTCTCTTTTTTAATCAGGAAGACGATAGCTTTCCTGAAAGCCCCCACCCAGTAGATTTCCATTTCCATCTCACTGGTCAGAATTAGGTCTAGCTGCAAGGGAGTCTGGGTAGTAAGTGTTTTTAACTCTTAGGAAGGGAAAAAGGGAGAATGGATATTGGCTAAACCACTAGCTATGCCTGCTGCACTGAGAATAAGTAAGAATAAATTCTCAGGACGTGGTTGGGTTTTGAGAACACAAACTGGTAAGTAATGTGTGCTGGGGTCCATCATCAGCTGGTTGGGTAACTGGGGCTAGTTACCTCAGTGGGTCTAAAATGTTCTCATCTATGAGAGAAAATAGTTAAGCTATATTATTTCTAAGATTTCTTTTTTATTCTACAACCTGTAATTCTAAGGGCTTATATAATATCCATTTCTAAAATAGCAGGAAACTATGATTGGCTGTCTTGATGATTCTTTAATAAAGCTAGCACTCTTTGACACAGTGCAGTACTTGGGAAAATGTTGTCTATGGGTATGTTTGATAAGGCTTACTAATAAAACGAATTCAAGTTTTTTAGAGTCAAAAAAGTACTTATGAACAGTTCTCTAATATGGATACCTAGAAGTGCAATTGCAGGGTTGAAGCTCATGGGATTTAAAAAATTTAACAGAAATTGCCCTCCCAAAAGTCTATATCAATTTATATTCCTACTGGTAACGTACCAGAGTGCCAATTTTCCTAGCAGAAAGTATATGTAAACATGAGGAAATAAATAGTATCATGAGTTCTGTTATTCTTTGTCAGACACTGTCATATGCCCTTTACAATTGTTATTTTCTGTAATTCTCCTGGCTACCCTATGAAGTAGGTAGTAGTATTATGCCCATCCTTGAGATGAAGAAACTAAGGCTCAGAAAGTTTAAATAGCTTGCCTGAGGCCATACACTTAATCACTGCCAAAACTGACACTAGGACCTAGGTTTGTCTGACACCAAGTTCATCCTCTTAAACGCTGTCCTCCACTGCCTCATAATTTATTCCTAGTGGGTCTGTAGTCTACATGGAGAAACATGGAAAGACTTCTCTATCTTGCCTCAAGATTCTGCCCAGAATCCCTACCATTGCAACGGCTAGCATTTGGTAGAGAGCAATGTTGCTTAGAGTAAGTTTGAGATACCACAAAGCCACAAAGAGGTTTTATTCACAGAGAAAACCTTCAAGAATCATAAAGAGGTCTCCCTTGTATGGTTTTCAGCAGTGTGAATAACATAGAAGTAAAGGAAATTTATTTTCACCTTTTCTTCCCTTTACTCAGTTGGAAGTAACTGTGTCTTCTGGTTGCATTTTTAAAGAAAATCTCAGGCTTTTCTTGTCCTCTGTCATACACCTGAGGTGAGGTTCCCACGGGTCCCCATCTATGCCTATTTGATCCTCCTTGGATATGTGCCCGCTCATGCAACCAGGTACCGAGCTGCGTTTGTTATAATACATAACCACAGAGGAGGAAAAGAAACCATTGCATGGGGTGACCTGTGCTCACAGTATAGATTGTGTTGTAACAAGGTCAACCAACTGTAGTAGCTATTAGTCACTGTCTAGTTCTTAGAATCCTGCTAAGACAGAATTGGCCAGCGCAAGTAAATCTTCAGAGTTTCACCTGGGCCTTTTTAATGTCATTACAAATCATGGGGCACCTCGATGGGAGGTAATAACCTGGCTTTGGAAAGATGTACATTTTCACATCGTGGAGATGCACAGGGGGTGCGCTTGCCAACCAGCGATCAAGAAAGATGCTTAGATCAGTCTGAAAAAAACTAATTTAAGAGTCTTCCATCTTGAAGCCTGGAGAATTGGCATCGACTGATATAATCACATCGTTTTTCTTCTTTATTGTATCAGTCAGGTGGAATGTATTGATTGATTCTTTTACAGGTTTTTTAAGGTATAACTTGCTTATAATCAAATTCATCCACTTTAAGTGTATAGTTTAATGAGTTTTGGTGCATATATGCAGTCATGCAACAACCTAATGTCTGTAGGACGTGTCTTCCTCTCTTTCATTTCTGATATTGGTAGTAATTGATATTTTCTCCCTTTTTTCCTTATCAGTCTTGCTAGGTGTTTACCACTTTTAATAATCATATCAAAGCACCAAATTTTGGCTTTATTTTATCTATTGTTCATCTGTTTTCTAGCTCATTGACTTGTGCCCTTATCTTTATTATTTCCTAATTTTTACTTATTTGGGGTTTAATTTGCTCATTTTCTCTCTAGTTTCTCTTTCTTTCTTTTTTTTTTTTGTGAGGAGATCAGCCCTGTGCTAACATCCGCCAATCCTCCTCTTTTTTTGCTGAGGAAGACTGGCCCTGGGCTAACATCCATGCCCATCTTCCTCCACTTTATGTGGGCCGCCTCCACAGCATGGCCTGATAAGCGGTGCGTGGTGTGCGCCTGGGATCCAAACCAGCGAACCCTGGGCCGCCACAGTGGAGCACATGCACTTAACTGCTACGCCACGGGGCCGGCCTTTTTCTTTTTTTTCAAATGGGGCTCTCATAATACCTCTCTTATAAGTATTGTTTTCATTTTGTTTTGTTTTGTTTTGCAGGGAAAGATTCGCCCTGAGCTAACATCTGTTGCCAATCTTCCTATTTTTTTTTCCTTCCCAAAGCCTCAGTGCATGGTTGTATACCCTAGTTATAAGTCCTTCTAGTTCTTCTCTGTGAGCTGCCGCCACAGCATGGCTACTGACAGATGGGTGGCATGGTTCTGAGACAGGGAAATGAACCTGGGCCACCGAAGTGGTGAGAGCACCAAACTTTAACCACTAGGCCATCCAGGCTGGCTCTCTCTGGTTTCTTATGTTGAAAATTTAGATAATTTTTTTTTGGTAATAGCTTTGTTGACATATAATTCACATACTATACAATTCGCCCATCTAAAGTGTACAATTCAATGGTTTTAAGTATATTCACAGAGTTGTGCAACCAATATCAAATAAATTTTAGAATATTTTCATCACCCCCCAAAAGAAATCCTCTACTCTTTATTACTCACCTCACCTTTCTAACCCTCTCCCCAGCTCTAAACAACTACTAATCTAATTTCTGTCTCTATAGATTTACCTATTCTGGACATTTCCTATAAATGGAGTCACACAGTATGTGGTCTTTTGTGACTGACTTCTTTAACTTAGCATAATGTTTTCAGGGTTCATCTATGGTATAGCATGTATCAGCACTTCATTCCTTTTTATTGCCAAATAATATTCCATTATGTGGATTTACCTACCGCATTGTATGTATCCATTCATCAGTGGATGAACAGATGCTTGGTTTTAAGTTTCTCTTCATTCCTGATATGCTAATCTAAAGATGCAATATTCCCTCTGAGCACTCCTTTAGCTGCATCCTGTGAACTTTAACATCTTGTATTTTCACTATAATTCCATTCGAAATATTTTCAAATTTCCCTTGTGAAATACATCATGGAATTTTAGAAATATATTGATTAATTTCCAAATGTTTGGGACCTTTGTCTATATCCTACAGACTGAATAATCTCTACTGATCTATCTTCAAGTTCACTGTTTCTTCAGCTGCCTCCAAAATGCTGTTAAAAGCATCCAAAAATCTGTTCCATTTCTATACATCAATAACGAACTATCAGAAAGAGAAATAAAGAAAACAATCCCATTTACAGTTGCATCAAAAAGAATAAAATACCTAGGAATAAATTTAACCAAGGAGGTGAAAGGCCTCCTTTGAAACTATAAGACATATTGAAAACTATAAGACATTAATGAAAGAGATTGAAGAAGATACAAATAAATGGAAAGATATTCCGTGCTCATAGATTGGAAAAATTAATCTTGTTAAAATATCCATACTGCCCAAAGCAATCTATAGATTTAATGCAATTCCTATCAAAATTCCAATGGCATTTTTCAAAGAAATAGAACAAATAATTCTAAAATTTGTATGGAACCACAGAAAACCCTGAATAACCAAAGCAACCTTGAGATAGAAGAACAAAGCTGGAGGCATCACACTTCCTGATTTCAAACCATACTACAAAGCTTTAGTAATTAAAACAGTATGGTATTGGCATAAAAACAAACACATAGATCAATGGAACAGAATAGATAGCCCAGAAATAAACCCACACATATATGGCCAATTAATTTCCAAGAACGGAGCCAAGAATACACACAATGGGGAAAGGACAGTCTCTTCAATAAATGGTGTTGAGAAACTTGACAGCCACATGCAAAAGAATGAAACTAGACCACTGTCTTAGACCATACACAAAAATTAACTCGAAATGGGTTAAAGACTTGAATGTAAGAGCTGAAACCTTAAAACTCCTAGAAGAAAATATAGGCAGTAAGCATCTTGACATAAGTCTTGGTGATGATTTTTTGAATCTAACACCAAAAGCAAAAGCAACAAAAGCAAAAATAAATAAGTGGGACGACATCACACTAAAAAGTTGCACAGCAAGGAAACCATCAACATAATGAAAAGGTAACCTACTGAATGGGAGAAAATATTTGCAAATCATATATCTGATAAGGGGCTAATATCCAAAATATATAAAGAACTCATACAACTCTGTAGCAAAAAAATCAGTCTGAGTTAAAAATGGGCAGAAGATCTGAATATACATTTTCCCAAAGAAGACATACAAATGGCCAACAGGTATATGAAAAGATGCTCAGCATCACTAATCATCAGGGAAATGCAAATTAAAACTACAATGAAATATTACCTCGTACCTGTTAGAATGGCTGTTATCAAAAAGATAAGAAATAAGTTTTGGCAAAGACATGGAAAAAAGAGGACCCTTGTGCACTGTTGGAAGGAATGTAAATTTGTGCAGACACTATGGAAAACGTATAGAGGTTCCTCAAAAATTAAAAATAGAACTGTCATATGATCCAGCAATTCCACTTCTAGGTATTTATCCAAAGAAAACAAATACACTAACTTGAAAAGATATCTGCACTCCCATGTTCATTCCAGCATTATTTACAATAGCCAAGATATGGAAACAACCTAAGTGTCCATTGATAGATGAATGGATAAAGAAATTGCGATACACACACACAGGGATATTATTCAGCCATAAAAAAGAAGGAAATTGGGGCTGGCCTGGTTGTGTAGTGGTTAAGTTTGTGCGCTGCGCTTTGGTGGCCCGGGGTTCATGGGTTCAGATCCCAGGCGTGGACTTACACACCACTCATCAAGCCATGCTGTGGCAGTGACC